TATCCCGCCACTCTGCAAACCCCCCCCCACCCCGACACCACCACCACACACACCGCTCGAAAGAAATGCCTCTTCTTGTTTCCGTCAGTATACTTAGGTAACACGATCCTGATTTAGCAACACGAGACACATGTAGGAATGGGTGTTGATTAAATGTGCATAATATATTTTCTCTCAATTTTCGTTTACATACAAAACAACATCGGTATACTTTTTTTTTTCGCCGAGTTAAAGAAATATAGTTAAATACCGTGTATCAAAACTAATAATCGTCTATTTCCATGCATTTCTAAAAACGTCGCAGTGACCACGTCAAAGTAGGTCAAAGGCTTCCGTAATTCTAGGTGGTTTGAATCACTTTGCCTTGTCACAACAGGCCTGGCGCCTCAGTGGTGCAACTCCTCACTCGACCTTCTAAGTATTTCAAGTGGCGAAATATAACTCTGCTCCCTGTTCCTATAACACGTACATCTAGCAAGGGAACGTTATTGTGTGTGGTGTAAATTTTCACTTGCGAAGTCTCATATAGAACTACAGATCAGATGACCAGTCTTAGAAATTCACATCGACTAAACCATACTTCGAGCTATATACGATGCGGTTTTCTCTGTAAATGAACCTGAAGATAGCAATTTTATGAATTTTGTAATATTTTGAATTTAGTTCGTTGTAATCGTAATAATAGTTTTGAGTTTCGATATAAACGAATGGTTAATCTGAAATGTTGTTTCCTCTGTAAATGAACAAAATGATATAGTAAATATACGGTTGTAACGAATGTAGTAAACTACGGTTGTAACGAACACAAAGGGACCACTACTTTTATTTCGTTGTAACCGTAGCTTGTTACGCCCATTTACGCTAAAATATACAGCGAATGAGACCTGATTAAAAAATACAGTTTGCTATATCCGTCAGTTCTTTGTAAGCGTGTTCGTTACAACTATAGCTTACTGGATTACAATAAACAAGTACTTCGATACAGCCGGATTTCCGATTAAAGGTTGATAGTGTTTAACAGTATGTAGTTCGACATAACAGTGTATGCACATAGGAGAATGTTGTTGTTAATATTCAATCCCTGTACCCGATATTAAAGTGATTTAAATGAACTAAAATAAACAGTCAGAAATGACAAATATAGATCGCATTTAAAACCGCCATGTAAGGAAACATCATCCGGGTTCGAACTGATCCTCAGCAACCCATGCTTGTTTCTACTGACTGACTGACTGAGTATGGTTTTACGCCGCTTTTAGCAATATTCCAGCAACATCACGGCGGGGGGACACCAGAAATGGGCTTCACACATTTTACCCATGTGGGGATTCGAACCCGGGTCTTCGGCGTGACGAGCCAACGCTTTAACCACTAGGCTACCCCACCGCCCCTGCTTGTTTCTAAGAGGCAATTAACGGGACGGGGTGATCTGGCCCGCTGACTTGGTTGACACCTGTCATCGTATCTCAGTTGCGTAGATTGATGCTCATGATATCAATCCCTAGATTGTGTTCTCCAGACTCGATTATTTACAGCAGCCGTCTAATAGCTGGAATGTTGCTGAGTGCTGCTTTACCAAAAAAATAAAATATTTACACTAAAATGGCATTAGTTGTTTGGTTGACGCATGTCATCGTATCCCAGCTGCGTAGATTGGTGCTCATGATGTTAATCACTAGATCGTGCTGTCCAGATATGAGTATTTACAGCAACCGTCTAATAGCTAGAATGTTGCTGAGTGCTGCTTTAACAACAAATAAAACACTAAACTAAACATGGCTTTAGCTGTTCACGCATTTATTTCTTTAAATATGCTGCACCATACACTCATGTTCCATTCACACGAGTGCCGATATCTGATATACAGAAGGAAACACACCAAGTCTCGTGTACAATTACAGTGCAAAAATACACACCATTACCAGCTTGTCATTACCCCTTGAGCCCCAGCCGTAACCTTACACATAGGAAGTATCTGAACAGATACGTATGTGCTTAACTATCATAAGTTCACAGATTGTTCCAACCTTACGTAAGTCAAGCCAGTCACCGGATGAAGATACTTGACAGATGGTAGATTTTAGGATATCGAGCACAGTGACATTAGCATGTGAAGCAATTGAACATGCTCTGTCTACGACTCATCTTCTGTAATGATACAACTATTCCATAATAATTTAGTATTTAGTACGTTACTCATGCAGCTACACTGTTACTGACATACATCCGTACATTTCAACAACTGAAATTAAAAATGATACTTAATATAGTGAAACCTCTTTAATCCGAAAGGTAGTACTCTTTGAGTGAGTGAGTATGGTTTAACGTCCCCTTTTAGCAATATTCCTGCAATATCACGACGGTGGACACCAGAAATTGGCTTCACACATTGTACCCATGTGGGGAATCGAACCCGGTTTTTCAGCGTGACGAGCGGACGCTTTAAGCATTAGGCTATCCCAGTATTCTTTGAAATAGTCCCGATTAGGATATTCTGGATTAACGAGTAACCCTTTTAAGGGGGAATGTTCATAAATGCTCCCGGAGGACATTCGGTTTAATGAGGGTTCACTTTATACTGAATATATATATTTAAAATAGTTCATGAAAGACGATATTCACAAACTGACTTTCACACTGAGCGTGTAAAAAAATAAACAAACATACAAAATGTGACGTGATAATTACAAACACCCTAGTTTCTATCCTGCCAATCCAAGTTATGTCTTCTGTCTCTGTAAACAATCATAAACAATCAATAAGCCGAGACTAGATTTGGTTTGAGTCCTTTTTGGGTATAATCGTTCTAGGTTTCATGCTAAAGTCCCGATTTCGTATGTCTTATTCGGAATATTGCTGGGTGCGGCTTTAATAATAAACCAACCAAGCATTCCTAAAATAATGCGAGTATAGAAACAAAAACGGTTTAAACGCCAAAAATTCTCTTTCACAAAATGTTCATGTTAACAGATATGCACAAACAGGCATGTCAATCTTCCATGCTTTCAGACATACTTAACAGACATGTATACATGTGTAAACTATTTGGGAATGTGAACAATTCATAAATGAGTATTTTAATTATGATATTGTAATGTGTTTTCAGTCTGCTTGAAAATGTGTCTCACATTCATCGACACATTAATCAGTAACGAAAAAGTCATATTCCCCTATTATCACGTGGTTGGTTGTGATGGAGAAATTGTCTTTTTACTTAAAGGATGTACAGTGTATATACAATGGCACTATCATAACTATTTCACTCTCCAGAATGCTGCTTATAGAAAATAAGTCAATGATATGTACAAGAAACTATCCATTTTTTTCTGTCATGTCCCCGCTATGCCCAGTTTAGACCCGACAAATACTTTGTCCTTAACCACCTCAGCATATATACTATACTTCACGGCAATGACGATTTATCTCCTTTAGACAATGAAAACCTTATAAAATCTGTACAGAATTATATAACTGAAACTAACCGCTTTACGGAATTCAAGTAACAACCTATAAACATAAAATGCACTTGGTATCTTGTTCTAATTTTCTTTTCTTTATTTTGTTTTGATTCATTCATTAATGTCCTAATGTCTGCTCCATAGAATTAAGTCAAGATAATAACGAATTATATGCGGAGAAGCATTGACATAGGCCATGTGGCCTGTTTGCTAATCCTATTTCCATTTTGTTATGTTGTGTATTATGAAAAATGTAAACATTAATGGAAATAAAATACTGTTTAAATCACAAGAAACTAGAAACATGTAAATAAAAAAGGCTCCGACTCGACAATTTCCCCAAAGTATGAAACCTATTTTAGCTTTCCAATAAAGAAAACCATATATTTTCCTATTGAAAGTAGTGACTTAAATTGTTGAAAACGATTTACAATGACAAAGAGTTGAAATATCAGCTTATTTTACGTACATAACTTGCTTTGTCATTCACAGGTCAATCATGATAGTAACCGGATGAAGAATCGGGACAAATGACTGTGACATCAACATGTGAAGCTATTGTTCATGCATTAATTCCTTATATAGTATTGTATTATTTTTAGTTCAAGGTAATGAAATGTGATCCACAACAATTAACCCCTTCAGCAGTCACAACAAGTACGTGACTAACCCTTGCAGCGTGGGTCATTGATGGTTGTAGCAACTACATCTGTAGGGACTACGAAGGTGAAATGAAATTTCAATACAGTGAAACCTTCTTAATCCGAAAGGTATTCCCAAAATGAAATCATTCGGATTAATAAATTAGGTATTTACAAATAATTAATCTACAATGATTAAACAGTTCTGTAATTATTCAATTCTAAGTACGTGACAAGCCGTTGCTGTGGTAATCCTACATGGTTGACGTAACTACATGGTTGACGTAACTATATGGCTGACGTAACTACATGGTTGACGTAACTACATGGTTGACGTAACTACATGGTTGACGTAACTATATGGCTGACGTAACTACATGGTTGACGTAACTACATGGTTGACGTAACTATATGGTTGACGTAACTACAACGCTACTCACATACGCTTGTACAAAAAGAAAATGAATGATGCTCAATACAGATAGACTCGTGTTTGCAGTGTAGATGTCAAATTGAAAATATATGAGTGTATAACACTCAAGCTCAAACACAGATTGATATAATCGAAGCATACAAATGCACAACTAATGTATCAAACGTTGCTTCACTAAAGTCATAATACATAGTCAGCATGATAATAATAATCAACATTAAAATGTTATATAGCTTCAGACAAATACAGATTTTCGCGACGTGTTAAATAATTTATGCATGGCTAATATTTAGAAAGAGTATTTACTACACATGAAACCGTGTGTTCATAGAAAGCATAAACGAAAAAACGTTTTCTTTCACATTTAGAAAGAGTATTAGAAAGAGTATTTACTACACATGAAACCGTGTGTTCATAGAAAGCATAAACGAAAAAACGTTTTCTTTCACATTTAGAAAGAGTATAGAAAAGCATAAACGAAAAAACGTTTTCTTTCACATTTAGAAAGAGTATTAGAAAGAGTATTTACTACACATGAAACCGTGTGTTCATAGAAAGCATAAACGAAAAAACGTTTTCTTTCACATTTAGAAAGAGTATTAGAAAGAGTATTTACTACACATGAAACCGTGTGTTCATAGAAAGCATAAATGAAAAAAACGTTTTCTTTCACATTTACAGCTAATCAGGTAGACATTTTCACTGAACATTCAACATTCAAACCAGCTACTGTTATACTTCAGTCAGTACCTTGCAAGCTTTATCTACAAGAAACGGAACACCCTTTTAGTTTTGATGGAGATAAGAAAGAAAATAAGAAAAAATAATATTCTTGCTTCATATAATATATGTCATATAGCCAATGTTATAAATTGAACAGTATTTGCATTTTATACATTCTATCTCTAAAGAAAGTATTGCAGATGTCAGCTTCAAACTACAAGAGCATATTATTCGAAAGAAATCTTGCATATCCACCCTCTCACCAAAACGTATATACAAATACCCCTTCGTTTGACATTGGGATCAATCTCATATGACAAGAATGGTTTTGTTGGTAACATCCAGGTAATTATGATGTAACCATTACCAAGGGTTTTTGGAACTTCATGAAATTCCAAGCTATTACCAAAGTCATGCAATTGGATTTTTAAAACCATTTTCATTTTTCATGAAAGCAGACAGTATTTGGGATAGTATTCAGCTTTGAATAATACATCGTGTTTTAGCATTTAGATATTATTTCTTGGTTAGCGAAATTATTGAATGATGTTGATGAATGTACTAATTATCCCATATATTTCTAAGTGCTTAAACGTACGGCTCAGAGTAATGTATTTCTTAATTTACAAAATCTCACGCTGAGGTACAGAGTGTACAGTACTTCATCATTTAACTATTAAAATTATGTTAAGTTTTCAAATTTAGTTTAATAACGTTTTTTTATGTTAAGTTTTCAAATTTAGTTTAATAACGTTTTTAAATAGATTTTACCAACTATTTCGCATTTTCTAAATCAGTTCATGAAAGGTATTGCAGACGGAAGACGAATATAAAGTTATATTTCCTATTCAAACGCCACCTTGATTAAATTGCTTCAAACTGAACCATTGACTTAGTATCAAGTTTCAATTCATATTTCAATAATTAATTTTAATTATAATTATAACTCGCTGCATCTGATGTTGTGAGCATGTTCAGTTCATCTTCCGCTGCTTCCTGTTCCTTCTTCTTGCGCTGGTTCCGTGTCCACAGCCATGCAAGGATACCAATGACAATCATCCCCAAAACAATCCCAGCAGAGATCCCTATAATAAGAGGCATGACCCCACCAGCTCTATTTTTCTTCGAGTTCCTTACATTTGGTACTCCTCCACTGCCTGTTGATGTTGTTGCGGTTGCTGCCGTATTGTTTGTAACAGAAGCTGGCGACGTATTGCTGTCATTACCTGTAAAAGGTTCATCGTCACCTGATGACGTGATATTGTCATCAGGACGTTTTGACGTTGACTGCAGCCCGTGCGTGACGTACGGAGAATCCCCTTTGTTGACGGTGACGTTCGCATTGGTGGCGTTGGTTTGGGTTTCGCTGCTGAAACTGTAGACTGATGTCACTGGCGATGATGTTGAACTTGACGTTTGCTGTCGTGTCGATGTAGGAGCAGTTGTCGTTGTTACAGGCGTTGACGTCATCTTGACAGTTGGTTTCTTTGTAGTGGTGGACAGCTTCGTAGACGATCTCACTGTTGAGGTTTGTCTTTTGGTTGTCGGCTTCGTTGTGGTAGATGTTGACGTTGTAGTTGTTGATGTGCTTGCCGTAGTAGGTGTTGTTTGTAACGTTGTCAAAACAGTTGTAGTAATGGAAGACACAGATGAAGTGACAGGTTTAGCAGTCGTGGGTACAAGCAAAGTCGTTTTGACAGAAGGCACTATTTCTGTGGTAACGTTCTTCATCATCGCGCGCGTGGAACTGACAGATGTGGAACTGGCACGACTTGTTGTCACTCTGTCGGCAGTAGTTGACGTTACGACCACAGTTGTTGTCGCTGCTGTTGTTACTGGCATCGTCGTTGTAGTTTCTGCATGAAATAGCCTCAATGAAATCAAGTATCGCATACGGTTGAAATGTAGATGATAATATTCAACAATATTTAGCATAAATCTCCATGTTTTTTACACTTTACACTTAATTTCATTGGTGATATTACATTCTGAGGATTAACTGATGGATTTCCTTTACATACTATGTACGAGGTGATGTGAAATGGGGTTTAACGTCGTACTAAAGATTACTTCGCTCATATGACGAAGTGCATGCGTGTGTATGTGAGGCTGCTTGTACAAGCCCAGACTTAAGCTGGTTTTATAGTGCTAGCTCACTGAGATGCCATGCCGCAGCATAAATACCCCACTCAGATATATTATACTGACTCGAGCCGGCCAGTCCTTGTTTTACCCATTAATGCCGAGCGACAGTCAGGGGCCAAAAAGTACCATGTTTTAACGTCTTTTGGTATGACGCGGCCGGGGATCGAACCCGCGACCTCCGCTCTCCGTGGGTACGCTCTAACCACTACACCACGGAGGCGGTCACATGCTACAGCGAAGGACAACTTGTATGCTCAAATGCCTAAGGTTTTGTTCATCTTTGTACATTAATGGGAAGCGTACCTTCTGAACAATTGAACATCCGAAGGTCATCAATGGCGATGTCGCTGACAAAAGCTTCTTTCCTTGTCCCAACTATCACGATCTAGATGCCGAAACATAATGAACAGATAATGAAATGAAAAAGAATATGATTTAATATTAATTAAATTCAAAACATCAATACCCGTGAATATCCGGGTTAGAATTGGCCTTCAGTAACCCATGCTTGTAAAAGGCGACTAACGGGATCGGGTGGTCAGGCTCGCTGACTTGGTTGACACATGCTCCCGTATCCAAGGTGCGTAGATTGATGCTTATGATGTTGATCAATGAATTTAATGGTCCAGACTCGATTATTTACAGACTTTTTACAACGCAGGGTCGTTTCAGAACGTGTCGGTAACGAATAATTCACGATATTTAATTTATACTTGCGAATTATTCAAATGGATATAAGGGACAAAATTCATGTACGAATTCATGTACAAATATATGCTACGCACATGAAACATGTCGCACCGGCCGATCAGGATGGCGAACAACTGTGAGCATCACTATTTAATTGTGATGTATAATTACATGTTTAACATATAGTGGGAATCATACAATAGACTCATAGACATTACGTACTTATATTATGGGAAGGTTTTACATCACTGATCAATATTATTGTCATGATTATTACCATTAATATACATCATTAACATATTTCACCTTGAATATCTCGTCTTGGTCTGGGATCTTCACAAGACCGCGATGCCACTTGTTTCCTTGGTTACCGTCAAGGTAAAACTCGGGATCAATTTCGTCAATGTTGACTGAGGCGGGTTGGATATAAACTTCCAGACTTCCAACAGCTGAGGAATATGGATGTTTCAATTAAAATGTCAGCAAAATATGTACCTACCATTCATACCATTCATTACAGTGGGTGAATCTAGTTTCTTAAATGCATTGCTCATCATATCAGCGCGTCAGCATGAAGAATGTCGAAACGAAAGGAAAGTATATATCGACCAAAGTAATTATGAGAACTTGGGATTCGAACCCAGACCGGTTTCTGGCACGTGAAATTCACGTGAATTAATATTTGCCGAAAGTCTTGTAACCATATCCCAATGAGAGTCTCCAGGCAAACGCGCCAAGAAAGTCTAAGAGGTACTACTTTGGGCAACGAATTTTGAATATCCGGGTTAGAATTGGTCTTCAGCAATCCATGCTTGTCGTAAAAGGTTACTAACGGGATCGGGTGGTCAGGCTCGCGGACTTAGCTGACACATGTCATCGTAACCCAACTGCGTGGATCGATGCTCATGCTGTTAATCACTGGATTTTCTGGTTCAGACTCGATTAGTTACAGACCACCGCCATACAGCTGGAATATTGCTGAGTGCGGCGTTAACCATCAAACAATAAAACTGGACATTCGAGATATTTCCGGCGAGATCACTCACCGTCGTCGTCCGAAGGTCCCTTCATATGGTACCAGAACTCAAAGCACATGTTCCGGAGTGTGGGTGGGTAAGCCGGTGAGATAAGCCGAGCAGCGTCCCCGGCTTTCCTTGGACTCGAACTCTCAATAAACAAGTAGAAGCCTGCAGTATACAAACAGTCGGTCAGGTTAACACAACAAATACATGGTGGGTCACTCGACGGCTATGGAAAGTCAAATGATGTCATATTTGTTGATTTCAACTACACGCCATCATTTCATATCAAGGTCAAGGTCCTATACGTATTAGAAGTGAGACCGTCTCTTGAAGCTTCACTTAAAACGTTACGTTTCGGAGTCTCTTTTGCTTGTGAACGGTTTATACTTTATTGATCAATATATTTACTTGTCTTTTTTAATCTTGTCTCGTGTTCGATATGAAAAAGATGGAAAAGATAGAAAATAAACTAATTGTAGGCGCACACTATCTGTTACATTCCTTTCATTAGCTGAACTGACATACGAAATGCATCAAATCAGATATACATTACGGATTACCTTTTGGGTATTACAAAGCTTTGTTTCTTAAATAACCATTTGCGAAATATCGACGATCTTATCAAAGACGTACGATAGGCGCAGAGCTGAAATCGCTCTGTACCGTTGGACCCTTGTCGTTAACCTAAACATGAAACATGTGGAATTCCTTTCTGATCAATCCGATTCTGGTGTTTCAACCAATCACACCTAGGACACTCCACAGAATTTGCTTTTGCTCATAGCATTCATCTTCGATAATATCCAGGGTATACGTTCTGATAAATCTTCACTAGTGGAACGTATACCCTGGAGGTTGTCGATGATGCATAGCATTATGAATGACACATCTGCGTTACAGGCATGAATTTGAAAAGGGTTGTTTCCAAATATGGACTAAATGTTCCAAGAATCTTTGAAACGTGTTCACAATAAACCATATGGACCAAGGCTACATGGAAGCCGTGTCTCTCTGTCATCTGTACATCGCACAAAATACCAAATTAGAATTAGAAAGTTTGATTTTAAATTTTCATAAAGTGTGTGAAGTATATCATGAGGCAGCAGGAGGCACCGGTTGATTTTAATCGTCTATGAAAATACCAGGAGTGATGAGTTATGGTTTAGAAAATGGGAACGGTTTATTCTGGACCTACAGTATGACTATCCAGTATGGAGAGATTTTGTATAGTTGAGTACCTGTGCCCATGACTCGTGAAGATCCCATCAGTAACCCATGCTTGTCGAAGGCGACTAACCTTGGTTACACATGTCATCGACCCCAATTTCGTAGATCGATGCCCATAGTGTTATCATATTGGTCCAGACTGATTATTTACAGACCGCTGCCATATAGCTGGAATATTGCTGAGTGCGGCGTAAACTCACTCATCCACTCACTCACCTGAGCCCGTTGTGTGGTCACCGGGAGGTCCTGTACTCATTGTCGGTGTAGTCCCCGACATCCTCGTCCACTCAAAGTTGTCGAAGGTGTCCTGACTCCATCCACAGATGCCCTCCTCTTCAAAGTCACACTCCATTGTGTAGCCGACTGCCAGAGACAATGTTTTCTTACTTAATTAGCATTTCAGATACATTATATATATACTCATGCCAATAATGGTTGTCACCCCTTTCAACTTTTTTAATTGGAGAGGGTGTGTGGGGTGGGGTGTGAGGTGTGTGGGGGTTGGGGTGGGGAATGGGTGACAACCATTATTGGCATGAGTATGTCTCAGTTGATAGATCATGATCATAGAAGATAAACTTAGTAGGTGAGTATGGTTCAGAGCAGATTTAAACAGTTTTTGAGCGTGTCATCTTCTTTCCAGTAGGACAACTAACCGTCACAGATCAAAGACGTTTACCACTTTACGGAAATCAGTGACATTGTGTACTTGTAACATATAGAATTCGAACTACAGCTGATAATACATAAATAAAAATGTAGAATATTTATAACGCGGATTTCCTGGCTTCATATCCTCCTCAAAGCGTACAAATATAATCTGATTATTATTGGACCGGATAACCCAAGCTGCCTGTGAGGCGCTAGAAGGTTAATAGTCACATGACTTATCCCACCGGGTACCCATTTTATGCTGGATGAACAATGGCAATTTTGAACAAACTCGCTTGCCTAAGGTGAGACCACGGCCTGACCTCATTTCGCCTACACCTCATTTCGCCTACATCCTTATCAAAACAAATTTAGGGTTGACTGCACAACACATAAATGCTGTTATACCTTTAGAAAGTAGACTCTTCCACTAATGAAAATAAACTCTTGCAATGATGATTTATACTTTAATAGGTCATATTCAACAAGTCCAAAACCAATATCATCACAATGTATCGGTATCCAGCACTTGTTGACCGCCTCTCTTGGAAGTAACAAACTCAGCTCTCTGAAGATTTGCCATTTTGACGCGCTGAGTGTGAAACTTGCAGAGGTTTATATACGACATTGCTAAAACAGAATAAGATGAGATGATCATCTTATGTTTATACAATCAAAACATGCATGGTTGATCAAAGAAGAAGATGAGCAAGTCATGTTTATACAATCAAAACATGCATGGTTGATCAAAGAAGAAGATGAGCAAGTCATGTTTATACAATCAAAACATGCATGGTTGATCAAAGAAGAAGATGAGCAAGTCATGTTTATACAATCAAAACATGCATGGTTGATCAAAGAAAAAGATGAGCAGATAAGTAGATGAGGAAGTCATGTCATGTGTTAATGTTAACAGCTAGTTGGGTAATACCCATTATTATGATAGGGGTGGTTGAATTTTCCATTATAATTACTGTAGGCGAAATGAGGTGTAGGCGATATGAGGGCAAGCCGAGACCCACGAGCATCACGTGCTTCGTTGTGGGATAAGGATATAAGATGCTTCACGTGTTTATCACGTAAATAAAAATAAATAAATAAAAAAACCTCTGCTCGCAAGCATTTAAGTGACCTGTGAAAGAAGTGTTGCTTTAGTAACTTTTGATATATGTTAACCACAAGAAAATAATAATGAAAACCCGCCATAATAAACCCCCATCAGTCCAACATTGGTTTGTGCAGACAATCCTTCCTCTGAGGTACTAAAGCAATTTCAAATCAATGTGATTAAACAGACAAATTGCGATGCTCGTGTGGTGATGATAAAGGCGATATTTTACACTACAGACACCAGGTCAAAGGCATGCATTTCACAAAACAACAACCAGGAACTGCAAAGCAATAATACGGCTATCTACGTGGCAGTCATAGACAGTGTGGTTCAAGTTGTATGACTTAATCAACAGAATCGCAAATGCAATGGAGTTTTCTGAACTGGAATGGGAACAAATCAACCAGGCACGAGAAAACCGCCCCACGACGACACCTTGACCATCTATGCTCTGACAGGCGCCTATACAAGATCGAATTATACTAAGAACTCAATTTGACCTTCCAATTCATATATTTCTCTTTTACCATATTCTTCAGAGTCCCAATCCTAATTTTGAACCACCACTATCAACATACATGCTCTTCTAAAGATAGTCAACCAAGAAGAAAGAATTCATTCCAAAACAGACCATTCCATGACTGATTAGAACTAACGCCCCCCTTGGGACAATCAACAGTTGAACACTTAACAATGTCAGGTGAAATATGCACAGATAAATATAACTTAATATATTCAACCCAAAGCCAGCACATTCTTAATAATAAAGTCACTATGTGAATTTTAGAATAAACTGTCATTGTACACAATGCCAGATGTAAATAACATTAATTCCTGGACCATTGAGAGCCTGGAGAAAAGAATGTCAACTACACGTTTAAAAGTTCAAAACGGGTGTCGGAATTTGCATTCTGCTTACTGTCGCAGGTAGGGGGGTCCTCACTCCACTCTCGACCGTCACAGGTGAGGACTTCCGGTCCTGTGCGTTTGGTTCCAATTGGACAGGTGAACTTGAGAAGGGCGCCATTGTAGCTCTCCTCCACCTCCATCTGAGGGAGAGCTCCTAAGGATGGACAACCGCGTGCTGAAAACAGAAAGTAAACTCATCGTAATGTTACTGTCTTATTTTTTACTATTACGCCAGCTACTGAAGGACCGATGCTATTCATCTGTTTTATCGTTTTGCCACTTCCGGTTTGAAAACAAGGCTTTGAGTATTTAACAGGATTGGGGTCTGGTGTGCATGTGAGTGAGTGAGTTTAGTTTTACGCCGCATTCAGCACTATTCCAACTATATGGCGGCAGTCTGTAAATAATCGAGTCTGGACCAGACAGTCCAGTGATCAACAGCAATCTACGCGATGTTGGGGTACATGTATACACAATGGTAATCACATATACACATAGGGGTGGGTGGTCTGGGGTACATGAATATACAGGGGTACTCACAGATACATATAGGTGTTGGGTGGCTCCACGTCTCTGATTGCAGGCACACAGCAAACCTGTCTCCAAGTCTCGTATATCTCTTCTTACACTTGAAGTAGGCAAACTTTCCCCTGGCCCGCATCTTCACGCGACCATTTGGCAATGACAGCTTTGGACATTTCCTACCTGTAAAATCGTAAAGCAAAGGCACATATTAGAGTTTGTTATGTTAATACACTTGACAGCCGCGTGCCAGAACTTTAGTTGGCGATTGATTTAACATGTAAAGTCACATCGGCAGTATTAAAGCCATATAAAAGTAGAAAGAGTCCTGACTTCCAGTTCGGAACCGCGCCAATGTACACTAAGGGTACACTAAGTATGTGGTCTAGACTACCAGTTGTCAGACTTCCAGTAAGATATTTGAATCAGTGTCAAGGAATGATCTTGTTCGCCATATCACATCATGTGTCAGGGGCGTAGCCCTGGCTTACACATGATTGTTGCTATTAAGGTTGTAATATTACTGTGTATCTTTCATCATGGCACTAAAACAACTTAATTTCAATATTTAACAACCTACACACTATCCAATTTGTAAAATATTTCTACTCACTAGCTGTTTATCTTTCATCATGAAACTAAAACAACTTTTAGCTAATCCCAAATTTCCTTGACACTAGCACTAAACAACAGATTAACCCTTCCCTTGATCTCTTGATCTCATCTCTCCCTTGATCTCATCTGTATACTCTATGCACTAATCTCTCCTTTGGGTCAGTCCATTATGCCAGACAGGTAAATGCCATGTGTTGTTTTAACTAAATGTAGGGGTACTGGGGTGTAGGGGTAGTGGCATGTAGGGGTTATGGGGTACAACCACAAGTCCTGAATATTATCTTTCGGGCTTACACGGAAAAATGGGCTTGCTACGCGCATGTGTGTGCCTTTCTTGTAAGGCATACGTTATAATAATCACGCCATAGAAATGCAGAACCAGAGTCTCATTGACGTGAACATGAAACACGAGCTACCGGAAGTTACCGGGGGAGTTAATATCTTCCATTTTTCTAAATTTTGCCTCGGTGGCTGCTAACCAGATTTCCGCCTTTTAACGGAAAACGAGGATTAAAAATCTGATGTTAAGTAGACTTTTCACGATGAACAATAATGCATCGCCTATCACACATGATCGCACATGACGAATGGTGGAAAAATATATTTTGTCTCCAGTTTAGCACCCAACAAGAAGTAGTGTTTACTGGACATGAATGAAATATCATTTGTTGAGAGAGAGAGAGAGAGAGAGAGAGAGAGAGAGAGAGAGAGAGAGAGAGAGAGAGAGAGAGAGAGAGAGAGAGAGAGAGAGAGAGAGAGAGAGAGAGAGAGAGAGAGAGAGAGAGAGAGAGAGAGAGAGAGAGAGAGAGAGAGAGAGAGAGAGAGAGAGAGAGAGGAATTATTGTCATTTCACATCAAAACAACCAGACAAAATACAAAACAAGCTACAGTCCGTTTGATTTCTCTTGAGACGGATGAATTACTCACTATCACAAAATCTAATAATTGCAACAAAACCAAATCTTGCACTGTCACATGAAATCGACAGACCAACTCTGATGATTTGTCTCATAATTTTGGATACTCGAATATAAAAATTGTTTAACAAATAGCCGCTATTTTGTTGTAACTTTTCGTTATTTTTTATATGGGGGGACCAGTTGTTGGTTGCACGTGTGAAATTGAGAGAGAGAGAGAGAGAGAGAGAGAGAGAGAGAGAGAGAGAGAGAGAGAGAGAGAGAGAGAGAGAGAGAAATGCCCAATTGCTACGTTCAGAATAACCTCAGCCATTGAAGCCCTGTAGACGGAAATACGTCAACGCAACCAGAGTTGAAGGCGTCAACCCACTTCACGTTTGTCCGGACTACCGTTTTATAATTTCCTTTTTTGACAAGTTAGGAACACATAGAAACTACGCAAATGTATGTTTGCTACAAAGCACCACTCATCAAGACACAGGCGACCTCTGTCAGTGATGATCGTAAAACGGTTGATTGACAAGCGTCTGGCTTACAACACTCTTTTCTCACGAATGAATTATTTGTACCTTAATTTTGAACTTAAACTATGTACCATGAACAGATTACACACTGGGCTAACAACTTCTCCCTAGTATCCTTTCAACGTTACACAAACGTGACGACGTCATAGTGACGACGTCATAGTCCTAACTGCCAGTTCACCTGATGAAGGGACCTGGAATGGTCTCGAAACATCGTGAGAGAAATTAAAACAGAAGTTTAATCCATAAAAATATCTTGGACATCAATGTACAACTTCTAAATGCCATTGAAAGACATTACACAAACACTTTTAATAAATGTGTTAAGATAATATGTTCGTAATAGATACAAATATTTTGCATGAATGTGTAATACATACAATAACCTACACAAAATAAATGTACTGGCATATTTATTTCATGAAAAAGCAAAAACGGAATTTTCATGAACTGGATTGGTCAACAAGCTCAAAAGAACTTATATGAAGACCGTTCCAATATACATAGATATATGAAACAGTATCATGACAAGAAAAGATGATATCTTAAATGAGAGTAGATGGTATGACATGTAGTCGGAAAATTAAAATTAAACTCATGATGGTTGTATACTGGCACGTGTATCTATACAGCTGGAAAAAGGTATCGCAGCACCCCAATTTTATGACAGAAACTATATCTAATCACAGTTTACATGCCATATGTGTCGTCACAAGAAATTATTTTGTTTAATACAAAAGCAATAAAGAATCCGCATGGTATAAAAGGATTAAACATGGTAACAAGATAACATAATGTGTTAATACAAGTATGGTCATCCCAAACGGGTAACACGACGCATAGTCCTGATTCATGCACCCTGTCCACAAATATGGTCTCTAGTTTCAGAAACAGAAGACACAGTCAGTATCTTGTGTAACATCCGCCCTCCTGGATGACGTTTTGAACCCTCGTCCTCATTGAGTGCAAAAGACGCTGAATCCGAAGGTGCTGCAACTTGTTCCATTCTTTGAGCAATGTTTGCTCTAATTCATCAATATTCTTGACTGACGGATCTCACTGACGAACCGTACGCCCCAGAATGTCCCAAACATGCTTGATGTGGTTCAAACCATGGTTTCTGGCTGGCCATGGAAGGGTGGTAATGGCTTTTTGATGCAGGAAACCAATGATTGCGCGTGCGCGATGTGGCCTGGCGTTGTGATCCATAAAGAATGGCCTTGGTAACAGGGGATAATTGTCAAAATGAGGCACTACATGCCTCCTCATGATTTCCTCTTGGTATCTTTGTCAGACTTCCTCTCACTGTGACAAGCTGAAGATTGCAGTCTTGCGACACACAGCCCCTTACCATCAAAGATAGTCCGCCGAATGGAACTTCTTCTGGGATGTTCCTTTCAGGATATGCCATGTTCGTCTGTCGCCATACACACGCTTCCGTCCGTAAAAAGCAGCAAAAGCGGCTCTCATCTGAAAAATGGATCTTCGTCCGGGAAGCTAGGTTCCACCGATGCCGGTCACGGCACCACAGTAATCTTGCATCCATGGGGGCACGTGTCAGCAAAGGTCGTCGGACAGGTCTCCCGACCTTACACCCTGCTGTTTTCACTAGATTTCTAACAGTTTTATGACAGAGTTTCTGATGCCGTTGCCGTTTTAACATTGGACTTGGTGCAAAGGGAAATCGCCGAACAAGTCTAATCAGGGCTGAGACTGGTCTAGCTGATCCCTTGTGTGGTCTGCCTGAACGATGCAGATCCTTTACATTGTTTGTTTGGTGATATTTCCCCACTAATAGACAGATTGTTGAGGGGTGGTGACCTAAATGCCTGACAATTTGTCTCATGGACAATCCGGTATTAACCATTGCTATAACTGCCATCTGTCGTTAGTTGAGGGGGTAGCATAGAGTGGTTTAAAACAATGAGAATGCGTTTTAGCTCAGTTTTCTAACAAGAGTGAATGATAATTGAAACTGTATGGTCATGACAGGAGGGGTGCAAGTGTTTCATATGCTCCACACTTGTTACCTGCAGCACGTGCAGCATGATTTGTTGCGTTTGAGGCACGTAATGGGGTTTTGTTTTCATTTAAATTCATAATGTTGTTATGTACGAAGTTCTATGATACTGAGATAAAAAAGTATTAGGTGTTGCGATACTTTCTACCGCGTGTATAATTAGAACAGATCTGGTTTTTTGGTCGTTGTGCACGTGTACAGTTAGCGTACAGTTAATGTGTACGAGGAAGGAAGACATGATTTAACAACACTCACAGAGCGGGAAAACTTCCTGTTTTGCAGCTAAGAGTAAGTGCAGTGAGGTTTATTATGTTCCCGTCTCTCAAGTGTCAGGAGTGTAGGAACATGATTGTGCCTGCGCTTTATCAGATTTGACGGGCATAAACGTCCTTGTTTGTTTGTTACAAGGTTTACCAGTACTAACCCCTCTTCCCAGATGTATGTTGCCACCTGTCAACGATTTTATTACGTACTATACTAATTAAGCTGTCATCTGTCAACGATTTTATTAAATTATATATTACTATATAAGTTGTCACCTGTCAACGGTTTTATTACGTACTGTTATTATATAAGTTGTCATCTGTCAACGGTTGTATTGCATACTTTTACTATATCAGCTATGACCTGTCGACGGTTTTGTTAAGTACAGTTACTCTATCAGCTGTGACCTGTCAACGGTTTTATTAAGTACAGTTACTATATCAGCTGTCATCTGTCAACGGTTTTATTAAGTACAGTTACTATATCAGCTGTCACCTGTCAACGGTTTTATTAAGTACAGTTACTATATCAGCTGTCACCTGTCAACGGTTTTATTAAGTACAGTTACTATATCAGCTGTCATCTGTCGACGGTTTTATTAAGTACAGTTACTATATCAGCTGTCATCTGTCGACGGTTTTATTAAGTACAGTTACTATATCAGCTGTCATCTGTCGACGGTTTTATTAAGTACAGTTACTATATCAGCTGTCATCTGTCGACGGTTTTATTAAGTACAGTTACTATATCAGCTGTCATCTGTCGACGGTTTTATTAAGTACAGTTACTATATCAGCTGTCATCTGTCGTCGGCTTTATTAAGTACAGTTACTATATCAGCTGTCATCTGTCAACGGTTATATTTCGTACAGTTACTATATCAGCTGTCATCTGTCGTCGGCTTTATTAAGTACAGTTACTATATGAGTTGTCACCTGTCAACGGTTTTATTAAGTACCGTTACTATATCAGCTGTCATCTGTCGACGGTTTTATTAAGTACAGTTACTATATCAGCTGTCATCTGTCGACGGTTATATTTCGTACAGTTACTATATCAGCTGTCATCTGTCAACGGTTTTATTAAGTACAGTTACTATATGAGTTGTCACCTGTCAACGGTTTTATTAAGTACAGTTATTACAGTTACTTAATGATTTGTCACCTATTAAGGCTGTTTTTACGTACTGTTACTATTTCACTTCTTTGACATGTATTCGTTTTCGAAACATATGCTGTCACTTGTAGAACAGTCGTATTCAGAAATATGTTTGTCAACCTGCGTCTGTGATATGCGTAATCATTTTGTCTCATGGTTGTGCAGTACGTGAATGTGTCCAGTGTCATCTCATGTTCTAGTATGTGTCTTGTCAGTGTCGGACATGTGTCATACCCTGTGGCTGAAATGTGTCCAGTACGTGTCATATCTATCTGACATGTGACATGTCCGTGTACAGTATATGTGTTTAATTTGTGTCTGACATTCTTGAAATGTTTTTGTGATATGTGTTCGACATGTCTGTGGTCTTTGTCAGTTGTACCCATTTAAACAAAATATTTCCTTTCCCAAACCGTCAGGAATCGTCGCCACAGCTTCAGGCAGATATCATATAAGAACATCAAGCAAATGTCAAGCGCAGATGGGGCGTCTGGGTAGCCTAATGGTTAAAGCGTTGACTCGTCACGCCGAAGACCCGGGTTCGAATCCCAACATGGGCACAATGTGTGAAGCCCCTTTCTGGTGTCCCCCGCCGTGATGTTGCTGGAATATTGCTCAAAGCGGCGTAAAACTAAACTCAGTCAGTCAGTCAAGTGCAGATCGAACGAACAGAAGATTGGCATCGAAACTAAATCATGATATCTTTTGCAGGAGATAATCCATTGGTCAGTCGATATCAGTTGTTCCTGGGTAAAATTCTGCTAGAGGAGATGGGCAAGAACATTACGTTATGCAACATCCGGATATTAGGTTCTTGTGATCTGGAACTGTCATGTCCTGGAACTTGGTCTGGTTTGTTGTTTAACGCCTCACTCAACTGTATGGCGGTGGTCTGTAAATAATCGAGTCTGGACCAGACAATCCAGTGATCAACAGCATGAGCATCGATCTACGCAATTGGGATACGATGACAGGTGTCAACCAAGTCGGCGAGCCTGACAATCCGATCCCGTCAGTTGCCTCTTACGACAAGCATGGGTTACTGAGGTCAATTCTAACCCGGACCTTCACGGGTAGCTTGGAACTGTCCTTAGCTTTGTCTCAACTTCGACCTTGTGTGAGCATTCGACAACCACGACCACAACTCAAGGGGTCAGTGTGCTCATCTGTAGAACCCACGCTCTTTTCGCGAAACCTGTATTCGTCCCCTAACAATATTGAGTTGCATTGTAACGAAATCACATCTTGTTATAGACCAGGAATGATGAGCCATTGCCTTCTTGAGAAAGACAATCAGTCAGCTTCCAGGGTTCACATTGCAGCATCTTCCTTGACAGTAGATCAACATCTTGTGCAAGGATGAGAAGATTGAAACAGTCGCTGTACAGAAAGAAGATTCACTTAAGCAGCCTGTCTCTGTATTCTGAGAGGGTGCACCAAACTCTCTATTTATATGGCCTTGCTATTCAAATATGGTCCACAATTACAGGCAGGCCGTGCACAGGTTTCACAGGCGTGAATATGTATTAAATTGTTCATGTGTCATCTTTGATGGTTGTTTAACGTCGAACTTATCATTATTTCAGCTATATGGCGGCGATCTGTAAATAATCGAGTCTGGACCAGACAATCCAGTGATCAACAGAATGAGCATCGATCTACGTAATAGGGATACAATGACATGTGTCAACCAAGTCGGCGAGCCTGACCACCCGATCCCGTTCCTCGCCTCTTAGGCATAGGTTGCTGAAGACCAGTTCTAACCCAGATCTTCAAGGGTTTCACGTGTCATGGAAAACCATGTGTCATGTAAACCACGTGTCATGTAAATACTGAGTGTGTTTGACCCTCTTTTTCATGTCAAACATCCATAGGAACATTTACACCTTCACACTCTAGATTCCCCAAAGAAAAGACACAATAATAATGGCCTTTTATACAATTTAGGCGATAAACAAGTGTACATGTATATGTGTATCGCATTGATCGCATCTTTTTAACCTACCCGGCAAAGAAAATATACCACTGAAAATATTGACTAATAAGCAAGAAAAGGTCATGGGGCTGAAAATATTCACGGAAACAATAATTTTAGATATAAACACAACTATGGCAAAGAAAAAAAACCCAAAACGCATGAAACAAATAGCCATAGCTGAAAAAAATCGTGTTCCTTTCAAATATTGACTAATAAGCAAGAAAAGGTCATGGGGCTGAAAATATTCACGGAAACAATAATTTTAGATATAAACACAACTATGGCAAAGACAAAACCCCAAAACGCATGAAACAAATAGCCATAGCTGAAAAAATCGTGTTCCTTTCAAATATTGACTCATAAGCAAGAAAAGGTCATGGGGCTGAAAATATTCACGGAAACAATAATTTTAGATATAAACACAACTATGGCAAAGAAAAAAACCCCAAAACGCATGAAACAAATAGCCATAGCTGAAAAAAATCGTGTTCCTTTCACAAGCCACAATCAAATTGTGGAGTTACTCAACATTATATGTGAGGGCAACTTTCCCAAAGTCTCTACTCTGTTATGTGGCCTAAATGTCGGGTGATATTTAATTCTAACAATGTTATCTGCAATGGTTTATTGTTTTGTGTAATGATATACTCTGTGGTGAAGTACTGCTCGGAAAGGAAATCCCGCAGACACAACCTTGAAGTTTAGACAAAAAGTTGTCGATTGCGGAAGTGAACTTTGAACCCAATTATTTTGTTGTTGACCCTGATGAGATGAGTTACGCAGAATATTCAACTAGATTTTGTATTAAGGTGGGATTAAAAACCTTATGTTTGATACTAAAAATCTGATCCAATCCAGTTCTCCTATAGAGAGGTGCTTGCTTTCCCTCATGTATCAATACGTGCTTCTACGTGCTAATAAATATTGGTGAAAGCAGCTTTGAGGAAGTTCTTATTATAATCCGCATAAAGTGTTAATTGGAACATAAAATGATAAACATTCCTCAGATTTGTATCGGAAAACCACCTGTTATTTTTAAAATGCTGAAAACAAAAATAAGCGTATCACTGTGATAGGAGGGTATCAGTGTTCATAAAGCCAAGGAGCGATGGAGTAGCCTAGAGGTTAAAGCGTTCACTCGTCACGGGTTCGATTCCCCACATGTGTGAAATGTGTGAAAGATATTGCTACAATAGTGATAAAAGCGGCCTTCAACCCTACTCACTCACTTACACAAAGACGACGTTATATATAGCGGGATTGTGAAATGGAGTATCAGAACAAAACATGAATTAAGACATGTTTCGTTCACAAAGTAATCCATTAACATTCTGTCAACATCCTTCTAGTCTGCCTAACGCGGCAGACTGCAATATCTTAGTTTAAATACTATTTGACATACGATAAACAGGTTCTCATAAAAGCAGTATAAGCACCGGTACTTACTTTGTGCAAAGACTGACTGGTCCTGTAACGACAGTAACAGCGTTATTGTACACAACACCTCCGACAACTGCATAGCTAGGGTGTGGTCACTGCTGCCGTCCCGATGTTAGACTGTCACATATATCCTCGATGTCCAGCTTGTGTGGTAACTCGTCGCTGGAGAGAAACAGTGGCTCGAGTCCATATGCTAATACCGGAAGTGGGTGGGACGATGGGAATGGAGGCCAAACACCCCGGATGTCTATCCTCAGGAAACGGCGCAAGTAGCTGAGTATGTAGCTGCCGCTCCAAAACGTCTCTGTTGCTCTAATTAGAGACTTGTAGATGTGTTTCTCTTTTTCCTCTTAGATTATCCATGTTTTGCTCGATTCAAATTAAATGCTACTGGAAAGTTGTTTCGCTTTATTTAACAACCGGTTCAACAACTGACGAAAACGTAGTATCCTACTTGTAACTATTCACTTTTAATTATTTTTCAGCAAAATAACTTATCATATTTGAATGGAAAACATTTGACTTAAAATTTTAAGAAATCTTATTTGTTCAAACTTTTAAATGATCCGATGAAATGATGCTTTGGGTGACTTTCCAAATATTTTATGATACTCCACACAACCATGTATGACGAAAAGTCCACGAAATTGGGTCACGTGATGGCCCTGATAATCTTGTAGGCGGAATTCAGTCATTTCGTGTGAATGATGAATTCCTGTCACGTGATTACTTGAGCGAAATATTACCATACAGACTGTAAACACTGCTGCTAGTACTTGCGGTTTCGTAACCGCAAGAGGAGTAGCTAGTATTTAGAAATGTGTCTGGCAAAGAACTGATGTAGTAAGAGTGAGTGAGTGAGTCAGTAGGGTTCTACGCGGCTTTTAGCAATATTCCAGCAATATCACGGCGGGGGACACCTGAAATGGGCTTCACACATTGTACCCATGTTGGGAATCGAACCCGGGTGTTCGGCGTGACGATCGAACGCTTTTAACCACGAGGCTACCCCACCGCCCCTGTTATGAGATGACTGACTGAGTTTAGTTTTACGCCGCTTTTAGCAATATTCCAGAAACATCACGGCGGGGACACCTGAAATGGGCTTCACACATGTGGGGATGTTATGAGATGAAGATACTGCATCCTGTGTCGGAATCTTGCGTGTTACTGCTATGTTCCTGAGAGTGTAATATGTGTAGTCGTGAAGATCCGGGTTCGAAATGATCTTCAGCGAAACATGCTTGTCGTCAGAGGCGATTAACGGGATAGGATAGTCAGGCTCGCTGACTTGGTTGATGCATGTCATGGACAAGTGAGTGATCCCAACATGAGCATCGATTTGAGCATTTGTGATAACTTTTCCCGCAAGACCAGCCGATTCTGTTATTCCTAATGGGTTGTTGAAGACCGGATCTTCACAGCGTGTCGGGTAAATGAGGTCCGAGTAAAGAGCTCTACACCCTTGATTTCTGTTGGATCTTCGCGTCCTTGTTAAAAAGGAAGGGACGCTGGGGTAGCCCAGTGGTTAAAGCGTTCGCTCGTCACGCTGAAGACCGGGTTCAATTCCCCACATGGGTACAATGTTTGAAGCCCATTTCTGGTGTCCCCGCCCTGATATTGCTGGAATATTGCTAAAATCGGCGTAAAACTAAACTCACTCACATAAAAAGGGAGAAAATGATTTTAATTGAAAAAGAATATGAAATAAGAATGAATGCATTCAGCATTATTTGTGAATGTAAATGTCACGGGGATTTTTCAACTGCTTAGCCACACTGTCCGCATGATGCGCCTGATAATATCTTCTATATACATGTTGGAAACGTATTGAGGAGATAATGTGTGGGCATAGTGAACGAGGAACAGAAGAGTTGCCTCCCCTGATGCCTTTAGTCCGCGAGCATGGTTTAATTCGTAAAACAGACAGATCAGGTGTTGCTGACAGCTTCGATAGGGTAGATAGTATTGATAGCGTGCATTTCGTAGTCAGTGTTCATCACATGGGTAGCATAGCTTAATAGATAGCGTACATATGCTAATAAAGCGAAGATAACGTAAATAGCATAGGTATCTTTGATGTCGTTGACAGTGCAGGTGTTTTTAATAGTGAGATAGTACATATTATGCTGATTGTTCTTATAGTTTAGAATAGTGTTTATAATGAACATTTTGTAGTGTATATAGCATAGACAGCAAAAACAATATTTATCTTCAATATTAGTAATGTTAAACATACTGTAGACAGGAAAGATAGCATTGACATAGTAGATAAAGTAGATTTTGTGTATGGTACAGATCTTGCACAGTCTAAGTAAACTAGATTGATAATACGATGTGCCGTTGAGATTGACATCCAATGATCGAGGGAAAACTAGTTGCCCGGATATGTAATAACTAAGGCTCAGTATTATTCGTTACACTGTCTCAGTATAGCAGTGTAACGAATACTACTGAGCTTAAGTTTACTTAGATTGAGATCTTGCAGAGACTATAGATTGGTTTTTTAAATTTTAGACATTATAAATAACGATGACTTGATAGTGCAGAACTATGCAAATATTATGGAGAGCATAGATAGCATTACTATCGTAATAAGTTGATATAAAGTAAAGTGGATATAGTTTGGAAGGTCTATCCAATAGAGAAGACAGTATGGATAGTGTACATGATGTATATAGTCTAGATCGCTTGAAAAGGTACATAGTGAGGTGAAATTGGGTTTAACGACATGCATGCGTGTGTATGTGTATGTGCGGCTGCTTGTACTAGCCCAGACTTAAGCTGGTTTTATAGTGCTAGCCCACTGAGATACCATGCTGCAGTGAAGCATGAATACCCCACTCAGACACATTATACTGACTCCGAGCCGACCAGTCCTTGTTATACCCGTTAATGCCGAGCGCCAGGCAGGGACCAACAAGTACCATTTTTTAACGTCTTTTGGTATGACGCGGTCGGCGATCGAACCCGAGACCTTCCGCTCTCCGGGCGGACACTCTAACCACTACACCAAGGAGGCAGTCAGGTACATAGTGATAGTGTGGACGGTGTACATGTAGAGAGCCTGTAATACATATATGTCCATTCGTGTGTAAGTGGGCGGGGCTGGCTGTAAGTAGCGGTTGAGTGAACAGTATACCCGACTTATGAAATCTGTATTACCACTTTGATGGTGCAGACATAATATTAACGACTCATAGACAATAGCACCTGTCGTTCCCTATACTAGCACGACTGACGCGCATAGAGAATAGTATGGGGTCATTAAATAGAAGGTAAATGAGTATTGGTGTCCTATGCAGTCCCTGTTTTGACCTGGGTGCGGTTGTACAAATCAAACTCGGCGTTACGACAGTTGTAAGTCTTTGTTAAGGTATGGGCGTTACCGTCACCTCAGCGTTAGGACAGTCGTAAGTCTTTGTTAAGGTATGGGAGTTACCGTCACCTCAGCGTTAGGACAGTCGTAAGTCTTTGTTAAGGTATGGGAGTTACCGTCACCTCAGCGTTAGGACAGTCGTAAGTCTTTGTTAAGGTATGGGAGTTACAGTCACCTCAGCGTTAGGACAGTCGTAAGTCTTTGTTAAGGTATGGGAGTTACCGTCACCTCAGCGTTAGGACAGTCGTAAGTCTTTGTTAAGGTATGGGAGTTACCGTCACCTCAGCGTTAGGACAGTCGTAAAGTCTTTGTTAAGGTATGGGAGTTACCGTCACCTCAGCGTTAGGACAGTCGTAAGTCTTTGTTAAGGTATGGGAGTTATGGTCACCCCAGCGTTAGGACAGTCGTAAGTCTTTGTTAAGGTATGGGAGTTACCGTCACCTCAGCGTTAGGACAGTCGTAAGTCTTTGTTAAGGTATGGGAGTTACCGTCACCTCAGCGTTAGGACAGTCGTAAGTCTTTGTTAAGGTATGGGAGTTACCGTCACCTCAGCGTTAGGACAGTCGTAAGTCTTTGTTAAGGTATGGGAGTTACCGTCACCTCAGCGTTAGGACAGTCGTAAATCTTTGTTAAGGTATGGGAGTTACCGTCACCTCAGCGTTAGGACAGTCGTAAGTCTTTGTTAAGGTATGGGAGTTATGGTCACCTCAGCGTTAGGACAGTCGTAAGTCTTTGTTAAGGTATGGGAGTTACCGTCACCTCGGCGTTAGGACAGTCGTAAGTCTTTGTTAAGGTATGGGAGTTACCGTCACCTCAGCGTTACGACAGTCGTAAGTCTTTGTTAAGGTATGGGAGTTACCGTCACCTCGGCGTTAGGACAGTCGTAAGTCTTTGTTAAAGTATGGGAGTTATGGTCACCTCAGCGTTAGGACAGTCGTAAGTCTTTGTTAAGGTATGGGAGTTACCGTCACCTCAGCGTTAGGACAGTCGTAAGTCTTTGTTAAGGTATGGGAGTTACCGTCACCTCAGCGTTAGGACAGTCGTAAGTCTTTGTTAAGGTATGGGAGTTACCGTTACCTCGGCGTTAGGACAGTCGTAAATCTTTGTTAAGGTATGGGAGTTACCGTCACCTCAGCGTTAGGACAGTCGTAAGTCTTTGTTAAGGTATGGGAGTTACCGTCACCTCAGCGTTAGGACAGTCGTAAGTCTTTGTTAAGGTATGGGAGTTATGGTCACCTCAGCGTTAGGACAGTCGTAAGTCTTTGTTAAGGTATGGGAGTTATGGTCACCTCAGCGTTACGACAGTCGTAAGTCTTTGTTAAGGTATGGGAGTTACCGTCACCTCAGCGTTAGGACAGTCGTAAGTCTCTTTGTTAAGGTATGGGAGTTACCGTTACCTCGGCGTTAGGACAGTCGTAAGTTTGTTAAGGTATGGGAGTTACCGTCACCTCAGCGTTAGGACAGTCGTAAGTCTTTGTTAAGGTATGGGAGTTACCGTCACCTCAGCGTTAGGACAGTCGTAAGTCTTTGTTAAAGCATGGGAGTCAGCGTTGGACAGAGTTGTTAAGGTATGGGTCACCTCAGCGTTATGGGAGACCGTCACCTCGTTACGACAGTCGTAAGTCTTTGTTAAGGTATGGGAGTTACCGTCACCTCAGCGTTACGACAGTCGTAAGTCTTTGTTAAGGTATGGGAGTTACCGTCACCTCAGCGTTAGGACAGTCGTAAGTCTTTGTTAAGGTATGGGAGTTACCGTCACCTCAGCGTTAGGACAGTCGTAAGTCTTTGTTAAGGTATGGGAGTTACCGTCACCTCAGCGTT